TACAATTTATGACCACTTTCTCTTGTTCTCCTGCCATGCACCTCGGTAATGAGCCTGGTTCCATCTAATCCTCTTGACTATCACACCTGCTATAACAGTTTTGACTCTTTGCCAACACAGGCTAATCCTAAATCAGGAAGCTTGAGCAAGATATTCCCTTTCCCTCACTCTCTCTCATATTGCAGTTTACTTCGCAGCTGTCAGAATAGTTCACCTTTTGGTTTGTTCATTGTGCAGATTGTTCAGGAAGCGCTGGATAAAGCCAGAGAAGGCCGTACCTGCATCGTGATAGCTCACCGCCTCTCCACCGTCCAAAATGCTGACAAGATTGCTGTCATACAGAACGGCAAGGTCGTAGAGCAAGGCACCCATCAGCAGCTTCTGGCTGAAAAAGGCATCTACTATTCTCTGGTCAATGTTCAAAGTGTGTAATGCAACATGGAGAATAAAGGCAGTACTTACCTCTGAACTCCCACTGGAGCTACTTCTGCCACTGTAATTATTTCAATATCAGCAGTCAGTCTTGATACTTTTGGTTTTCTTCCTTCCTTTCATAAATCATACAAAACTAAGTAAATATGTACCAGTTTCTCTGTATTAGCTTTCATTATTCAAACAGCTTTATTATGTGGCCAAAACAATGGCCTATTGTCCTCGTGAAAGTAGAAGCATGCTAAGCCAAATGTAATTAATATTAGCTTGCTTTGAACTCTGTCAAAAGTCACATTAAACAGGCTTGTCTGTAAGCAACTTGGAAACATTTTCATGCTCAGTAAAAGTAGCTTTGCTATTGTCAGAAAGAAACCTCAAGCCTTATCCTCACTGTGCCTGTGTAAGACACAAGTCAGTCCTGGCCTATTGGGCTTGTTACCAACCTGTTATGAGAACTTGCTGGTCAGCTGAAATTTGATTCCAGGTGTCCCTTGTGGAGTTTAAGCCTAGGATGACAGTAAATGTCTTGAAAACATGGGCAAAGTCTGAAAAAAAGGGTCTCAAAACTGCAAGTACCTCAGTGGTGGTTGGTTACTGATCCCCAAAGAGTCGCAACCTTAAGAGATGGAAAAAGACATAACACAGGAAAGAAACAGCAGATCAGAAAAAATCCCATAACTGATGGGCAAGACAAAGCACCTGCTGCAGCCCAGGAAAGAACTATCTGCAAGTGTCCCGAAGTCGTAGGGGTCAGAGGTCAAAGTCTAAGAATTCTGAAGACTGCAATATTTTATAAAAGGTGAAAATCCTGGATTTGGACTTGGAGGAGGGGGAAGGAAGGCATCTTTTTCATTGTTAGCATGCTTTACTGAAGAGCTCTTGAACCTGATCACCGTGACTGAGACTCCCAAGGACTGTAATTGTTGGTGCTAAATCCTTGACATCAGCTCTGTGACATTGTATATTATTTGCTTATTTAGGATGACTGTTAAGCGCTAGCTGCTTTGAATATGTAGTAATATTGATTCGTAACTCTTAATAACTAAGCATGAAGCAATGTATATTGTTAATGCATATTTATTCAGTAAAGTTTTGTTTTTAAGTTTAAAACTGGCCTGATTAATCAATCTTCCACAATTCCATCGGAGCAACTTCTGATTCCCTGAGATTTATACGTATGGTCTGTCTTACGTATCTCTAGATATTTATACACACAGATCTAGACATTTATACACAATGTACTAGTAACGCTCTTCAGAATGTTGATTGATGCAGTCTCATTGGAATCACATACCTATTTTCTTTTGTTTCTATCTTAGATGGAAAACCAATTTGACTAGCACATTTGTTTGTTTCCTGTTTATGCATTACTTGATACAATAAGATTCTTGTCCATGACTAAGGCTATTATTCTGCATAATAATATAAAGAAGTTATACTTGCAATTGCAAGAATTGAATAGATACTCTTTAACATTATAGTCTGGAGATTCAAGTGAGAACATACGTAGACTGACTTTTTTTTCACTAAATTCTGGATGTTAGTATTTTGTTTTTAAACTAGGGTTTTTAATTTTTGATGGAACAGTTTCTAATGATTGGATTAGTAATTATTAGATTCTTTCCCCAACTTGTGTCATTTTGAAGACTCTGGATTTACCAGACAAATCTAACTCTTTATGAAAATCAGGATAGCACTGTAAATATTTTACCACAGACATCTGAAAATCAGTTTTTTAAATCCTGGCCATATAGTTTAAAATATATTTCAGAAATTCACATTGAATATAGAAACTTTCTAAAACGATTTATTTTTCCCTATCCTTGTCTTCTACATTTCTAAAGAAGTATTTCCCCTTTGTTGAGATCTATGCAAAAGTTTTCATAATAATTACAAATCCACTATAAATGCTTCAGGAACTCTCTGCTCACAATTACTTTCTTTTCAGAATATTCTTTCAGAAGACTACAACAGCCATATTACTGCAACTGAGCTACCACTAGATAACTCATCATGTAATTTTCAGTCACAAAGCCAAAGGACAGAGAATAACACCTCCAAAAATGCGTTCTTCACCACATTCTATTCATACACCTTCTAACTGCAGTGCTTTACCCAAAGGAAGGGTTGACTGAACTAGGACAATTCTGCTTTAAGGACCATTATTCTACCACATCTTTCCAAAGGGCATAAGAGGCCTTACTCCAAAGCTCAGCCTTTTCAGTTAGGCTCTGAGATATTTTGGTTCCCCTTAATGTCATAAGATACTTGTCTGAGCTCTAAGCCCTCCTTGTTGGCATAGTCAGCTCTTGTCTCTGACCATAAGTACCCTAAACTCTTGATGATAGGTATGTGTTGTTATTCTGAAGTAATAGGCCTTTTTTCCTCTGGCCTGTTCTTCTTTTGAGGGCCTGCAGCAGTTTCAAGCAGAACTTACTGTTTTGAGGGAAGGTTGTCTAGCAGCTTTTCCACACATTTCTTGTGTCTCTTGACCTGTTACCTTTGGAACAAGTCTTTAGAGAGATGTCAGCATTGACACCACCTTGGCAATCCTAACCACTTTGCAAGTGTATGCCACTGACCGTGGAGAGACAGGAATCAAGGACTTAAATCCAACCATCTGACAGCCCTCCTGCTGAAATGACTGATCAAAATAGAGTTCTCAGAAGAAAAAGAGAGTTTAGGTCTAGGAAGTCTTTCTTACCACAGATTCTTATCAGGGCGTTGCTATTGCCCAGCTGCCATGTACTATCTGCAAAGGAAGACTGTACATCAGTTCTGGATCTCTGCTGGTCTCTTCTTCAGGCATTCCCTCAAAGTTCTTCTTGAACTATCCCACATGTTGGGAGAAGTTCAACAGTCTTCCCCCTGACACGGACTTCCCATCAATCTTCTTTCTTTCAAGGAAATCTTTTGAACCTGTTGTCTCTTTCTTGCTGCTATACTGGTCTGTGAAAACAATCTTCCTGGTAGCATTAATTTCTGTAAGGCACTAAAGATCTCATTGAAGCATTTGTTAAAGAGTAATCCTTGTGATCGTTCACAGTACAAATAGAATCAAGTTAATCTCTTTGTCAAGGTGTATAGTTTATTTGTACATTTATAACACTTCCTCCTACTCCTCTCCCTCAAAACATGGCAGAGTGCCTATGAATACAGGGTGAAAACACTCAACTAACAATTCTTGTGTGGAAAAAGCCACATTGTAAATGTATCTATAGATAATCTAAATAACTGTTATTGTCGAGCACTCAGTCTTCTAGACAAATCGTCTAGAACAACGTAGTTTAGTCATTCATTCATTCTGTATTTCTAAGAGAGGACAGTATCTTTTATTCTAATTTCTTTAATGCAGTAAAATGAAAGCAGAAAGTAAGAAACAGGACCAGCAGCAACTTCAAATCCTTTGCTCTGAATTTCACCGACTGGAGAGATATCTGAAGTAGAGAGGAAGGAAAGGTGCAGAACACACAAGGACAGCAATCTTTAGCAATCTGTGTTTTTGAAGGGTGAGTACATTTCCTTTTGTCTTTGTGTGCTTATTCCTGCATACATTTCATTCTAGCTGTACTCTGTTAACTAGGGAGGTCAGCATCAGAACGCTGTTGTTGTAGAGCTCTAGGACAGGACTGCATGTAAGTCAAAGTGAGCATTCACACCTAAGTCATTTCTTGAATCAAGTCTGTCTTCTGCAGGGTTAACAAAGGTCTGGCCAGGGCACAGTTCATCCCATTCTAGAATTGCTGTCACTAGCAGGTCAGATTAGCAACAACCTTGTATTGTGTCTCTTCATAAGAGGATATAAGCATGATTATCATAAATACTTATATTGTTAATGCCTTTGTGTAGAGAAATGAGTCACACCTTGTAAATGACTGCTCTACTAAAAGAAGCATCTTAGATCCTGCACTACATAATGTTTCATAAGAGTTGATCCATAAACACTGCCTGCAGCCTTATATTCACCAAGACAGAGACATTTTTACAGACATACTAGAAATTGTATGGGACTAATTTAAAATGCCCCAACATTTAAAGTCATTGATATTTCAGATAACTTGAAAGATAAACACTGCATCTCTCTATATATGTGTATATTATCTTGTCTTACGGGATTTGATTGAAGTGTCTATGGGTAGAAATGGTATCATTCATTTACTAAGTAAAGGAGACATATATGTTAAGGAATTTTTTGAATACTGCAAGCAATTGTTCTAAGAGAGAATAGCATGGTTCTTATATCATTATAACAATCGGGTATAATTTTATTCCTATGTTAATTCTGATTTGGTTCTCAAATTACAGATGAAAAAATAGGTCCAAGAATAATTTGATTAATCTAAGAAAAAAATTCAGTTCATGCTATGTCAGATATTAAAAGTGAAGACATGGTTAGGAAGAGGGAATGTATATCTAGGTAACACAGTAGCTCTTGGTTCCCACTTGCTTTTAAAGTGTCCTTAATGAGGTCAGCTTTATTTACAGCAATATATAAAAGAAGTCAGGGCAGAACTTAGAAAGAATGGAGCTACTATAGGTGTGAGATGACTAATACTGTCTTCTCTGTTTACCATTGAGGCTCCAATGAACTGTTCAGTTAATGCTGGCATCACAGTTTTTTTCTTTCTAGGCACTCTTGTCTTCCCCCAAGATTAATTTCTTCTTGCCTTCACTTTTACATATATCACATTTTGTACTGATTTCATTTTGGATTAATCAATGTGCCTTCTTGTTGTACAAACTCTTCAGTCATTCCTTGATATGTACATATTTAATAGAATTGGAAAACAATACAAAATTTCCATGTTGTGCAACAAAAAAACAAACAAACAAAATATATACACACATTCCAAGGGATTGGTAGAAGGCACCACTATGGAATTATGACATGCTTCTCCATTCATAAAGGGAATTCCTAATCTTAATTAAGTTTTCTCGATATTTTCTTTTGGGTAGATCTACAGAAGATTTATCTCCACAGATCTGTCTATTCTTCAATGTAAAAGAAGGTGAGTTATTAAAGATGAGAGTTATTTACATATCTGCTAAGTCAGAAACAACTCAGACATTACTCTTCATGCATGCTAGAGTTGAGAATTACAGTTCAGGATGCTAATATTTCCCTGTTCAGCTTGTTAAGGGTACATTCAAGGAAACATACAACAGTCTAGTTTTGCAGATGTTCATAATTTTCTTTCCTGCAATTTCCTGAGGAGTTTGATAAATAATCAGAAACTTCGTTTCTCACTTGGCTGTTATTTTGAGACATTTGAAATCTTTTCTCTGAAGACATGATTATTCCTTCTAACTCTCGTTTTCCTATTATCGCCTATGAGACCTTAATGACAGAAAAAATAAATGTGATTTCCATCTAAGAATCTTGCACTGATAAAATTTCAAAATATCCTTTAAAATTTCTCGAGAATTGCTCATGAAAAAAATTAAAAGCTAAGAGGAATTTCTGTGTCTGAGTTTTAACACCAGTTTCCTTTGAGTTCGTGATGAAAATTGTGTATTTTCTTCTTTATTACCCAGTACTGTAAATCAAAAATTTTTCTTTCTGTGGCCGTGTCTGTAATTTGCCACATGATGGCCTCATTTGTTCAGAAAATGGCTTCCTTGATCTGCTTTATCTTTTTTTTTTTTTTACTCCTTCATGTATATCTTGTTCAATTCAGTATATGCAGTATCCTGTCTAATCCAAAGAGCAATACCCTTATGAGCTGCTGGTTACTGTCCAAGGCACCCACTCTCTTTCCTGCCTAAGGGATCAGCATGATACAGTCACACCTGACAGCATCGCTACCATGTCTTCTAAAGTCAGAGTTCTTCAGACCTAGACCAAGGCAGTAGATAACAACTGCTCATCCCAGCTTGTGCTATGTCAAGCAGTCCTACTGGAGGCAACAAATGATGGTAGATAATGTCTATCTTTGCATTTGAATCAAAGAACTTTCATTTATTTCTTCCCTTTTTAATCATATTTGTCACAAAATCTGTTAAAGTAGAAGAATCTTCCCATGTATTAAAAATATTTCATAATATTAAAAGAGCAACGAGGTTTTCATTTATTCTGGGTAATTTGATTCCAGATACAGAGTTTGACTGCT